TATCCCCAGGCACACACATTCTCCCTTCGAGCCTTTCAGATTCCCATCCTCCTCGTTCTTCTTCCCAGTCTGGCTCTTCCCTGGACGAACTGAGGATTTAATTCTCCTCCTCTCCCTTTCTGCCCATCCCCTCGCTCCATCTTAATACGAGTTAGTGTCATACAGCAGGAACCCATTTGCTCCCTAGATCAGAACCTTGTCCTTTAATTATCTCTGTCTGGCTTGATTTGATTTCCCTGGATAAAACAGGGAGGAAAGCGGGTTCATCCCCACTCCCACCCCTGGGAGAACTTAAGCAAAGCTCAGCAAAGCCGAGCAGAAATCCGCACGCTCAAAGTCCTTAACGTCGAGTGTAAACTCTCCCGGGCTCCGCTGACTGCACAGACTGAACGTTTCTTCCAGGACCACGGCGGGGTTAATGACGATGTTAATTTGTTTGCAATTCTAGAGCCAAATCGAAAAACGGGGGGAGATCTTTGCGAGAAAGGCTAGAAAAAATCGGTTTGAATTTACCAGCCGGCAGGCGTAAGGCCGCAAATGTCACTTTACTCACCTCCCTGGTGGAAGGTAAGCCGAGGGGGGCAGCTCCCGTCGCACCCCTGCCTGCCCTGAACGCGGATCTGACATTTTATGAACCAAAAAAACCCCCCCCCCAACCCCCCAACTTTCGGGATCAGGTGGGGAAAGCTTGCAGAGGTGAAATTCAGGGCGGGGTAGGATGAACACCAGCACGTTTAAGGATCCCATTCCTAAAAATGAAGTCCCTGGCTGGAGTGATTGATGCCAAGAATGAGGTTGTCCGTGGGTGTAAATGTGTACACATGGGTGTAAATGTGTGTGTAGATATGGGTGTATGTACATATGGGTGTACATATGTGTATACATATGTGTGTAAATGTACATATCGGTGCAGGTGTGTGTGTACATATGTGTGTGAATGTGTGTGTACATATGGGCATAAATGTATGTGTACATATGGGTGTATGGGTGTATGTGTGTACATATGGGTGTGTGTGTGTGCGTACGTATGGGTGTATATGGGTGTGGACATACGGGTGTATGTGTGTGTGATTCTACAGGGCAGTCCCATTCCTCATTGCTATTAATTCCCAGCCTCTCCTCTCTGACTCCACGTCTACTCCATCCTCCCGCGAATTCCCTCCTCCCGAGCTTATTTATGGCCACTCCAGGACTCTCAGTGAGGAAAAATAATGCAGAATTTATTTTGTTTTAAAAAAATCGGGGCAATCGAAGAGTCGCAGAGCGCGGTTTACCTTCGGGTGGCTGGAAGGGGAAGGGGAGGCTGAAGTTTCACCTCATTTCAAGTCAACCGATGTCATTTTGGGGTTCGGCGTGTGTCTTTGATTTATTGTTACTGTATAGAAAAGCAAAATGTGGAGCCACTAATATGTTTAGGATATGTGCGTGTTTATGCTCGGAGAAGTTGGACCTGCTCCAAAAAACCGTAACCGGAATAGTAGGGACGCAATTATGAATTCTATATATCTGCATCACACATACACACCGAGAGGCGTATAAATAATCCACTTACCTCTTCTGCATATAAGCATACACAAACATTTGTGCTAGATATTAACTTTTCCACTCTTTTTGATTGAGTTACCGAGGGATAAGACCTCGCCGCATGCGGAGCTCGCAAAAAGACAGGGGGCTGATAGCAACGAGCCCCTCCCGGTCCCCGCGCGTA